CCCTCCTCAAACACCAACTTGGTCATGCCGTCCAACATTCCCTCAGTCTCAATCTCAAGTGCACTGATGATCCCGGCCCATCCCTCCCATACTCCTGCCATGACTGTCTTGATGGGACCTGTGGTAGGCATGGGGGGTTGGCAGAACCCCCTCCCACTACCTCCTGGGAATCTTGTTCCCACTCCCATCTCAATTTGTTTCTTGATGCTTCACACGACCATGCCTACCAATGTGTTAGGGCAACACAGGCTGACTAAGTCTGCTCACCTAAGAGTGCCAAGAGTCTAAGCAGGCAACAAGGAAGTGGAGTAGACCTGATGACTAAGACCTATCTACAGTATAGGTACCTGTGGATGATCCTAAGAGACCAAGTCTGAAGAGACAGTCCCCAGGCAGAGTAGGCCTTATATTTATACCTCTGTGGTGGAACCTGCTAGAACATCTTGCTTACTCAGCCTAGTCAGGTGATCAGGTCATATGACCAAGGATGAGGTCATATGAGGTCATGCACAGCCATGCACAGCAGGTCACCTGACCATCCAATCCTCCAGCAGGTTCCAGCACATGTCATGGTATACCAGCTACTTCCATGTCATAAAGGCTTAGTCATGTCTCTTGACCAAGCAATGAGCTGGTGCCCTGACATGATGGCCCCAACCCCTCCCCTGGCCCTCACCAGCCGATCTGTGGTCTGACTGCAGGTGCTTGGAACACTATCCAGCAGCATGTCTCCAAGGCTCCTTGCACTATCACTGGTGCAACTCACAATGGTTACAACCTCCTGGGCCATGATGTCCACCCATGGCAAGTGGGCATCAATGGATGCCTCCACAGGATCATGTGGTATGGGGAGTTCACCCCTCAAGTTCTTGATCTGGTGAGTACTTATCTTACTAGATGTTTAGTACTAGTCACTAACTACTAATGAAGCTAACAATGGGTAATTGTGTTCTCAGTGGAAGCATACAGCTTTGGCTAGGAGGGCGTTATGACAATGGGCCAAGCAATGCAACCAAGCTCAAGTCCTTTGTCTCTTGCCTCCTGTGGAACACTGGGTATATGCCCATCATCAAGGGCATCACCTGCTTGTTCCACCAAGTTGTCCTCACCAACTTCTCACATGACATGACCTCATTCTGTGGGCAGCAGAATGACAACTCTTGCAGGGCTTGCACCACTCACACGTCTCTTGTTTGTTTTGATCCTCATCAGTTCAGGCCTGAGCAGAACCTGATCCTCAATGCCCCCAGTTCTACTACCAGTCAGCAGCCTGTCCCTGTCACAGGCATCCCAATGCCTTCACAACCCATGAGCACTGCTTGGCCTAGCAGTGCAATGCCCCCTCCCATGACTCAGAGGGCAGTATCAATCCCTTGCCCTGAGACTCCCACACCCTCTGGTAACAAGTTGAAGGGCAAGGAAAGGTCATCCTCCTGGGCCATGCACCACACTAGTAGCAGCAAGATGCTTGCCTCATGCTCATCATCTAGGCCCCCCCTTTCTCCATTCCATTGCTCACTCCTCTCTCAACTGGATACACCTGGTTCTGCACCCTCTTCTTCTTGATCCATGTCGCTGGCATCTTGTCTTGCAAGCCAAGGTGCTTGCATTCTGTATGGTCATATGGGTTCTGACCCCCCCTCCTTGCCCTGTGTGGTTCACAAGGTCCTGGTGACTTGGGCCATGCAACTCAACCTAGAAAGCAAGTTCATCATTGAGAACATCTATGTGGAGCTTCAACACATCTACACCTGGGACCCACCTTGTGTTTGGATGCAGCGTGTCCCATGAGCTGCTGACTGATGTGGTTGCCTCAGATGGCGTCAGCCCCACCACTCATCACATGGTCTCCGAGGTGTTCATCACCTGGGTTGAGGACATCATTCATGCCATGCAGCAAGAAAAAATGAATGATTACTGGGAAGGTCACACATAAGGCTCTCAATCTCGACTCAAGGTAGGTAGGGGGTCACAAACTTTGGCACTGGCATACATAACATCACAGATTGGCAAACTTATGGCCCACACACACACATCTCAGTTTTTTCTTCTTCTCATTCTTGATTGCCCCAAAAGGCAAAAAGCCTTGCAGGTCTTGAAATTCTTGGTATGGACTAAAATGCACATGGCATGCCTCACTCTCGTTGCTTCCTCTATGCTCTCCCTCTTGTTTCTTACCCTTGTTTGTGACATTTGCTTCTTGTCCTCATACCTGGTCAAGTACTCATGTATTTGTTACTAGCATAGGAGAACCTGTACCTAGATGTAAGTAACCTGACAATAGAATTCCTTGAGTCACGTTTCTTGTGTGTGTTGTGTACATGTGACTGGCCCTCATGACATCTCATTTTGTTGTGCTTGTCCCTGGACTTCACCATGTCTCATGATCCTGGTTACTCTCAGTCTCACTAACTTTGACCTTCCTCATTGTCTGCTCATCTGCTTCCTAAATGCCATGCACCTCAGAGAAGGCAAAGTCTTGGGGCCATTGTTTAGCAGTGGCTGCAAGCACTTGTGACAAGCATGCTTGTGTTTGCAATGCTATCGCAGACATTTGATCTGAAGTCAAGACAAGGCTAGATAGTCTTGCTGATGAATTCACCATGAAACGAGAGGTGATCCAAGGCTATTTCTATGGCCAAGGTCTGAAGCCCAAACATGAAGGTGTCTCGATGTGGAATGCAGCTAGACAAGAGGTGGCCTTAGAGTGGAAGGCAGCTGGTGAGTTCTTTGCCCTCACTTGATGCTATCTTGCTCTTACTGTGAATTTAGGCTGCAGGTTTCATGCAATTGGTGATTCCAAGTTCAACAAGGAAGTTGAGAGGTGTGTTTCCTCTTACAAGCAAGATGAGATCAAGCTGGCTGAGGTGCTCCAATCTGTCATAGTAGCAAGACACAAGACTGACAACCAAGTTCAACTACCATTGAAGTCAAGAGAGGCTGACACCATTCATATGCAAGATCACCTATAGTGCAAAGCTTGAGACTTCAATAACCACATGGGTGGTCACATTTGCAGGTTCATTGTAAGAGGGCACTCAGATGATTATGCAGTACCCAAGTTCTTTGGCAGTGCCATTTGCTGAGACTGGTTCAAACAAGTACTTGGTTTGTTGATCACAGACCTGTGCTTGGAATTAGAATCATGGGCATTCAGCAGAGGGCCGTGATGTGAGTGTTATCTATTCAAGAACCTGAGTTAATTGTATTAATCAATTACTAGATGCAGCAGAGACAACTCAGTCTCATGCAAACATATACAAGCATGAAATATGAGCCATGCTCAATGCCAAGATTGGTATGTTTGAACTCTATATGTCCAAATCTTGACACTCAATGTTCCTTCAGCACAAGCCACTAAGGGTGAGCAAAAGTTGATGGCATACAAGTCATTTGGTTGTGATGTGGAGGACAAGTTCCACTTGACCATACATGGCTGGCCACTAGACACTATCACAAATCCCTCAGATATCAAGAATGTGCCCCAGCTTGCCAAGGTCCATGAAGCACTCAAGGATGGCAGGTGCTTCTTCCACAAGATGACCATGGCTGAGCTCCAGCACCGAGTGACTAGAAGGCTCAAAGAGACCAAGAGCAAGGAGAATGTTGTTGGGCTGCTGCCAACCACAAGAGACACTCACCCCATTGGAGAAGCCACATCTTCCTGTGGCACAGACATCAACCTGTCTGGGGTGAAGCCTAACTTGGATCTATTGCATGTGGTTGGTCCTCAACCAAGAAAGTGTGCACAGCTTGCCCCCCCTCCTGCAGGGACACAACCCAAGCCCACCACACTGGACCTGATGGTGTTCTTGCCTCAGCCTCTCCAGGCACTGGATGTCAATGTGCTCAATGTTGATGCCAGCCTGTGGGATCTTAGTCAGTTGGGGGAATCTGGTCTCAGCTCAACTTGGAATGTCCATCACATTCTGGGGGGACCATAGAATCTTAGATGCTCTCAATGTAACTAGTTAATCAAGGAAACTAGCTATTGAGTACAAAATCATCTTAGGTAGGACAGTGTCTACACTCTAGACTGCTGAGGCCAGCATCAGCAGCACCTCTGCCCCATCACCAAGTGTCCTCTCATCTATGAGTTTCTGCTTGTACTTCTTCAAGCAATCAAGTGATTGTGCCTTTCGAGCTTTCAGGAGAGCACACTTCTCAGTCTGGTAGCCATGCTGGTATTTGCGCAGCTGGGGAAGATGTCTATGTCAAATTAGCAGGCAAATGAAGCTCCAGGCAAGACATCACATACCGGTGAGCCCAACACCTTTTAGCCTTCACTTCAGGCCTTGTAGAATTTGGAATAATGGCATATGAGAAACCATGGGGGTGGACCACCTTGAACAAGGTGCTTCTAGTGAATATTGCACATTCGAGGGGAGTGTAATGGTACTCAGGGCTGTCACTGGGCATGGTGTGTGTTAACAAGGATACTAGTGGGCTCTCACTTGCTTGGGTCTGGCTGTACATGTGGCCACCAACCAAGATGTGATGGCCAGGTGTTGGGTCTAGCTACTCTAGCTAGATTTGTCCAATTTTGGCTGGATGGGCTGGATGCAGGGGTCCGAGGCCCTGGAGGCATTTCCGCAACGGGGCTGCACCGCACCCCCGTCACAGGTCTGCTCCCGACAGGGCTCGACCTAGGTGACTCGGGGGCTAGACGCGTCGATTGACATGACTTCAGAATGCATGAGCGGAAGCAGTTGGTCCTTTTTCTTCTCTTTAACTGTTGCTTCTTCAACAGTCATGCAGCATTGCGGGCGTTCCCCCACATACGCTCTGCGCCACACCATAAAGTGTTTTCGTGGAAAATCCCTCCGTCATGTTTCTTTCCTGCGACCAGATAACACAACATATGGTGAAAATGTATCTTCTCCGTCTCCCGGATCAGGCTGATTCTTAACTTCCAGTGTTTGAGCCTCCAAGGCTTCCAATAGCGGATATTGTAGACAATCTCCCTGCTGCAGCCAAGAATGCAACTGAGCGACAAGTGCCTGTAACAGATCTCGAAAAGCTGCCTAGTCTGTTTCAGGAAGTCAAGGCCATCCGGCAAGAGATCGCTTCGGTCAACTCTGAGCGGAATCGACTGGCCGACAGAATTAAATCGCTCTCCAAAGACAAGTCTGAGGCAGGTTCAGAAGAGAAAACCTTAGCTATTGCGCAAGCACGAACCCTACGAGAAACAGGGCAACGATTGAACGACGAGCATGAACAACGGCAGAAAGAGCTGCAACAAATTGCCCTCTCCATCCCAAATTGGTCGCACAAAGATGTCCCGATTGGCGGATATGATTGCATCAAAGAAATATCGCATGGTGGTCCCGAGCCTATCAATCTGGACGGAAATCGAGAACACACCAAGATCGCTGCAGACCTAGGTCTTCTGGACCTTCCCAGCGGCTCCAAGGTCACTGGGTACTCGTGGTATTATCTCCTCAGGGAGGCCGTCGCGCTCGAACAAGCACTAGTCAACTATGCACTTTCAGTGGCAAGCTCTAATGGCTGGACGATGGTCACTACACCTGATGTCATCAAGGCGGACCTGGCTCAACGATGTGGTTTCCAGCCGAGGGAAGACGAAGCTGGCCAGACATATTTTGTTGAATCTTCGAGTGCTCGAGCGAAGAGAAAAGAGAGGGAAGAAGTATCCTCTCATCGTGGTGGGATCATGCCCGATTCTTCTGCAGCTGAGGCTGAGCGAGAAGCCCTGGTTTTGGCTGGAACTGCTGAAATCCCGTTAGCTGGTCTCTTTGCCTTCAATACCTACAACAAAGACGACCTTCCGATGACCGTTGTGGGTCTTGGGAAAGCATTCAGAGCCGAAGCGGGCGCCCGTGGTGCCCAGACAAGGGGTATATACCGTGTGCACCAGTTCACCAAGGTAGAACTCTTCTCCGTCACCGCCTCCGACTCCAGCGAGCAAATGATGGAGACGATGCTGTCTTTGCAAAGGCAAATCATCGATGGTCTCAATATACCTTATCGGTGGGTGTAACTGTGCAATTCCAATAAATCCCTGTTAATGTGCTTGCCCCTAGTGTTTTGGACATGCCGACGGAGGAGCTGGGAGCGTCTGCTTGGCGTAAATATGACATAGAAGCCTGGATGCCTGGCCGTGGAGAGTGGGGGGAGGTGCGCATCCGACAGTTCAAACCCGCACTGAGCTGATTTTGCGCAGATCTGTTCTCTCTCCAATTGCACCGACTATCAGTCACGAAGACTCAATGTTGATTATCTGTTGAGTAAAGATACAGAGAGTCCGGAGACAGAAGACCCTCAACAAGGAAAACAGTCGAACAAACAGTTCTCGCACACTCTGAATGGGACGGCCGCTGCTGTTCCTCGCCTCATTATTGCGTTGCTGGAGAATGGCGCAGTCTTCAAAGATGGCAAAGCTGTTACGTTACGATTACCAGAGTCACTCCGAAAGTATTGGATTGGGCCTGAAGAGCGCATTCGATGGGTGGAGAAAGGACAGGGTCTATCTTTATCTTAATTTCGGGAAATTCTCGGAATACAGTCGGCGTATTCCTGTATTCGAGCGAAAGTCCAGGATAAGTCAAATTCCCAGTGATGGATATCGATCCCGTTGGTTCGACATTACTATTCCTCTGGGCGCGGTGACTGATGACAATGTGATAATGACGGTTCATGTCCGGGGAAGCCGAATTGAACGTGATATTGTGATATAGGCCAGCGAACCACCGCCAGTCCAGATCTCTGCAATGCTTCGACTTCATTCATATTTGAAAATGTAATGAGACCAGAACCAATGCGAGCGACCTGTGATCGCTCCCTATGTAAGACAGGATGAATCGGTGATCGCTAACAATCATGAAATGCGTCTGCACCCATTCTAGACCCTACAGGCTCTTAGGAGGGAGGAAGCGCCGCGGAGACGGGTCCGACTCTCTAGTTTCCACGAAGTGCTTTCCAGCAGTTCTCTGAAATCCTCCGCAGTACGCGCACGGGAATTGAAAAGGAGCAGCATCAATATGTCCAGCTCCGACACTGTCTCCAGGTCAGTCATGGTAGCATATGACGATGTGGAGGTTACAAACCATATTGTTCTCCCGCGCCAAATCCAACGTCAAGTGGAAGCGGAACGGGTAGATCCATTCTCTGGACTTCTTCCATTGTCTTCCCATTGATCCTGTCGAAAAATTCGTCGACGTGAAGCTCGTGAGGAGAGTCCGGCGTGGATGGGGTGAAGTTGATGATCAGCAGTTTGGTTCCAGGTGGTGCCGCTGGAACGAGGTTCTAAGGGGGTTGTCAACAAAGATCAGTGAAGTAGAATATGTTTGTCTCACCTCCAGCATCAATTTGACCATGTCGTCTGGCCAATTGTGCAGTACGCTCTTGATAAGGAAGACGTATGGAGATCCCTCTGGGGCTGGAGGGAGAGGTGTTGGCTCCAGGAAGCTATGAGCGAGGAAAGAAACCCTGTCCGTCTCCAGCGCATCCGGCATGTTGTCTTTCCAGAACTGAGCTATGAATCAGTAGATCGCCCAGCTGTATAGTGACCAATACTCGCCTGTCGGGCCTGAGGAATGACCTCGGCTCTGTCCTGGAGGATAGCCTTCCAGCCAGGATGGTGCTTGAGGAACTGCATCGACATGCCTCCATGCCCGGCACCCACATCGACAAGGGTGATAGATGAGCCCAGATCATCCAAGTGCACGTCGGCAGAAATTCCCTTGTCCAAGTGATTCTCGATCTCGGTCATTCCTTGGTGGAAACGCTTCAGCACCGCTGGATTCTCTTGGAGGAAGGGAAAGAACGGTGTCTTGAAGAACACCTCGAATGGTGCCTAGATGATTCTTGATAAAGCGAAAATCAACTCTCCTGTGCTGAAGACTCACAGGCGTAGTTGAATCTGATGGAAGATTCAGCACCTTTGGAACGATAGTAGCCGGCGGTGCATAAGTGCTAAAAATGCCATTCATTTCTGCCACTGGACCAGCTCCCGGCGCCAAACCACGTGTAGAGCGAGTTGGAATAAAACAGTCGACAGACACCTCTTTGACATATCCTGCAGTAGCAAGCATGCGGGCGAAAGATCCTGGCCCGTAATCAGTCTCTAGATTTCGCAATGATGATAGGCTTACGGAGTTTGATTCGATCAATGCCTGTCTTCTTGGCCACATCGTCCAAAGTGATTCCACCCGAGGGAGCCTCCAGCATTACTTCCGCAAACGACGGCTTAGTCTCTGTGGCTGCTACAATACAGGCAGGTAGCAAGAAGTTGTAGTGGTCGATTAGAGCTCGCTGCGCAGGATCTTGAACTAAAGCGATGATCTGCTGGCAAAGTCCAACGATCGCACGACGGGCGTAGAACGTCGTTGGATCCGGTAGACCGGTATCGAGTGGATGAGGAGATATGTCATCACTTTTGAATTGAGAAAAGCCTTGCGAGTCGATGGACGCCTTCAACGCAGAGATGGATGTTCCGAGAGCTGCCTGCAGAACGTCGATCTCTGCCAAAGCCGAAGTAGCCATGCTGACGAATAGAACAGGAATGCCTGGGACAGGACAATGTCTCCCCGTGTTTTATAGGCACAATTGGAGGGGTCGCCTGCAGTCACAGTCGTAACTGTATGACGGGGATTCGGCCGCGCACACCCCAAGGAAATGCGTCGAGATGGACCCATGATGGACTTGGGATTGCCTGAAGACGACGCAGCAAGACCCTCGACGTGCGCAAGTATAAAATCACCATCAGAAATGAATGTCAAGACGAGAAAGAGGACAGAACTTGTGTGAAGTTACCAGCAAGAAGATGGTCGGGGGAAAGGCACCGCCGATTAGAAGCATCGCCACATCGGGGCATCAATTGATTTGCCGTCGATTGAACTTGAAGTAGACGACGCCATATTAATACTTGACCGCCACTGATAATCAAACTGGCCCAAAGCTGGCGATTTCTTCATTCTGGAACTATCTCACCAGTTTGGTTGGTATCTGCCCAGCGGACACGTCCTCTTTTCGTTTGGGAACGCTTGCCATCGACGTCTCGTGTCATTGCTAGAGGTTCAGCATCGTCGCTGTGCAACATGCCAACTCTGCGCTATATAGGTCACCGAGGTTGTCATCCAGTTTGACCAAATTGCTCAGATCTTCCCAGACATCGGTGTGAACTTGACCGATCCGATATTCCATGGTCTATATGGGGGCAAACAAGCACACGAAGGTACTTCGGTCACACTCCTGCATCAGGTGACAACATCTCACAGGCAGCTCCCCATCAGACGATTTCATCAACGTCACTTCTCGTGCGGATGCGGCTGGTGTCAAAGGGATGATGATAACCGGTGGGAGCTTGTACGAAGCACGAGAAGCGGTGGACTTGGCGAACCGTTTGGGCGAAGGTAGGTGTGGCATTCGACAAACTGGTCGTGATCTGGTCATCATTAAGAACATTAGGTGTGTATGCTACGGCTGGCGTGCATCCGACGCGGACATCTCAGCTAGACGCCTATCATTCCGGACCAGCAGCCTATCTCGCTCTCTTGGATGAGCTGATCGAACAGAATTCCAAGCCGAAGGGTAAGGGTAGGATTGTTGCTTACGGCGAGTGCGGGTTAGGTAAGAAGCGTACCCTGCAATTTGCGGTAATTAACATCGAATCAGACTACGATCGCCTGCATTTTGCAAGCGCTGAGACGCAGAGGAAACACTTCTTCACTCAGCTGAAAATGGCGCAAACCCACAGTCTTCCGTTATTCCTGCATTCTCGTTCTGCTCATCGAGACTTTACCTCGATATGTCGTGGAGCGGGCTATGAGAAGGACGGCGGACGCCGCAATGGGGGCATGGGCGGTGTAGTTCACAGGTAGGCACCGTCATGTCGGCGGTAGCTTGAAGTTGATCTGTAGTAGTTTCACTGGCACTGAAGCTGAAATGAAGGAATTGGTATAGTTGTATCTCGAACGATTGAGCCATGATACTCAAACAAGGTAGGTAGAAATGGGTTTCTACATTGGTCTCAATGGATGCTCGCTTAAGACTGAGGAGAATCTTGCCGTTGCCAGAGCGGTTCCCTTGGATCGTCTCATGCTGGAGACTGGTGAGTGACTGCCTTTGAACATGTTTGCTTCGTATGTTGAAATACGCATAATCAGACGCGCCCTGGTGCAGCATTACCTCTACCCATGCATCCCACTCACACTTGAAAACTCTGCCTTCTGATCTCAACCAGTTGTATTTCCCAGACTCGTGCAAGAAGGAGAAATTCGTTATGGGCAAGACGGTGAAGGGCAGGAACGAGCCCTGCGCCATAGGGGGAGTCGCGTGGATTATCGCACAGGCGAAGGGTGTTGCAATTGAGGAGGTCGCGGAGCATGCTTGGAGAAATACTATCAAACTATTCGATTTGCAGGAATTGGACAAGTCACTGGAATGAATGAGATGTTATCAATTATGTCATGTATAGAGCGAGATATTGTCCACCAACAGTGATACGTCGTCGCGTCGCGTCCTTCATGTCGTTGGCACCGACGACGACCGTGCGAGGTGCTCCGCCCGCACTGCAACCTTACTATTTTACCTCATCTGTGTTCGTTGAACATCTGCGGGCAGACATCAATGATCTGCTCGTCAAGTTTAAGGAAGCTGTCGAAATCAACCTGGAGGCCGAGTCACCGTTCCAGCTCTTTAAGGAGCTGTGGATTGAGACGGGATGGAGATGGCTGCATCTCCTCGTCATAGAGGAAAGGGGAAGGAAGTCGTTTATCCAAGTTGTAGAGAGGTGCCTTCTCGGTAAGCACGCGATCGCGCTGATACTTATCTGAGTTTGCTAACATCGTTGCAGAGGCGCTCAAATCAGCCAATGGACCGACCATAGCAGCGGGCGCCTTGTTCGCTCAATACACCTTCCACACCACTCAGCCAACCGCATTGTACACCATAAATCACATCGATGTACCTCTAGGTGCGTGTCATCCACTGAATTCACGAACGAGACTGACATTCTCAAGATATTCACGAAATCATACGAACACTTCCCTCCCGCCTCTCTGGACCACTGAAAGCCGAGGTCTCCTACCTCATCCGGCTCCTTATCCCCCAAATCCACCTCACCCCCTCTTCTAGCGTCATGCCCACCCTCCCGTACGCCACCATCGCCCGTGCTCCTCCATCAACGATCATGGCCCAGGGTCGACCGACCGCAAAGACGAGACGCGAAAACTACCAAATCGCTCTGCGCCGGCTCAATACTCAAGTAGACGAGCTGGATGCCGTCGTTGCTGCCCACCGTGAAGGGCGTAATGGTGAAGAGGGTGAAATCGGCCCAACGGGGATGCAGCTGCCTAGTGCGGAAGAGTATGTGACTCGGAAGGAGGGGCTGATGGCTGCGCTTCGGGAGGACGAACAAGAGAGACTAGCTCTAGAAGAAGGGACTGCTATTACGCACAGGAGGATGAAGGAGATAGAAGCATGGGCTATGAAGGAGGGGAAGGATGTCGAGGGGTACGATTGGGAGGGGAAGCCTATCGGACTCGCTTTGGTGGGGAGGGAGGAAAATCAGGGGATGTAGTAAGACCGATCATGCATATAATCCAAGATAAACTAGTCTACCAAGAAGGAACGGGGCACTTATCCTCGTGCAAAAAAGATCAGGACAGGCATTTTGCGCATGTAGGGTATCTACTTTTCGGAAGTCTTCTCGGCCTGGTCAGCCAACCACCAAGCCACAGTGCGTTTGATACCCTCCTCGACACCAACGATCGGCTCATACCCGAGCACCCGGCGTGCCTTCTCAATGTTGTGCCACCTCTCGGCGGTCAGATAGTGCACCCTGAAGGGGGTGAAGTTGGTGCCCTTGCCCGTGATCCAGCCCCACGACTCTGCCCCAAGCGCAAGCCATTGACCCAGGCTCCTGGGAATATGCCACATCTTCTTCATGTCGATATCGGCACCAAGAGCGGTCCAGATGGCACGGAAGAAGTCCCACTGGTACAGCGGCTCGCCTCCAGTTATGAAGAATGTGTTGCCCGCGACCTTGAGGGGTGATTTATCCTCGTCGTAGTCGATGCCGAGCGCGGTTGGAGACAGCGCGTCGAACTTGGTGCGCAGAACAGGACGCACTTGTTGCGTGGAGGGATCATTGAACTCCTCTTGCGCAGCGAGCTCCTCCTTATCCGGATGCGGACTAGGACCGATAGGCTTAGCTGCGGACGTGGGGATGCGACGGAAGCCCGTGGTAAGGGTGACCTGGGGAAGGGCGTTACCTAGCTCGTCGTTGGCGAGGGGAGGCGTGGCGAGGGAAAGCTTGTCGCAGGCTAGAAGATGGGCAAGGACGACGTTGTCCACGTAGGTCCAGTCAAAGATATTATCGTTCTTCCCGATCTGGATCGTCCATTGACCACGGGTAACGGCCTGTGCCGCAGAGGGCATCATGAGACGGTCGCGGGGTCTGCGTCTGGAATGAGTCTCTGGTCAAAGACGGAAAGCTGAATACGTCAACATACCCAAAGATACCGGCCGGCCGCAGGGCACAAGTGGCCAGTCCATCCTTGCCATTCGCTGCAATCACAATATCCTCTGCCATCTGTTTTGTCGTGTTATACGACTCCTCAGACTGTGGGAAGGGCATGCGTTCGTCTGCGTCTACAATGTTGTTCCTGTTGAACACCACACCAGCGGACGACGTATAAACCAGCTTGGGGACAGCGCAGGATACGGCAGCAGCAATTACCGTACGGGTCCCCTCGACATTGACACGTTGGTGCACTTCCTTGGGTGCTTCGGGTGCGGGGGAAGCGGTGTGGATAATCACGGATGCTTGACACTACAATCTCAAGTGAATAAGACGTGCAGAGGTGCAGGAAGAGTCTCACCTTTTGAATAGCATCTACCAACTGCTTTTCATTGCAGATATCGCCGCTGAAAAAGACGATTCTGTCGTCGAACACTCGCTGCACGATGTCGAATACAGCGACACTGGACTCTCCCCGGTTGAGCAGACCGTTGACAATATGGGAGCCCAAAAATCCACTGCCGCCGATGACGAGGTAACTCTCAGGCATAGTTTCTCAGATGTCGAGGATGATGAAGGGAAGAGGATGGAGGAGAGATAGGTCAAGTTGCGGACGGGAGCGCTGCTCTGTGCCTTTTCAGTTCCACGACTCGGGGGAAAAGGTGGGGAAGACAGGCCAGGGTCTCGGTGCCGGACCACGTGAGAACTCCGCGTCCTTCCCTCCATCTCTTCTTCGCCACCGCAGACGCCCTGACCAAAGACGCCATCATTTGGTACCTGTCAACTTTTAGGACTCTGAATTCGCTTTCTTTTGGCTTATATGCCGCTAATAGCCCGTAGATGTGGAAAACTGCGGCGCGAAAACCGCTCACGTGCTTCTTTTGCCTCACCCAGGACGCGACTCCCAACCTCAACCCTTACTACTGGAAATGTAACGCGTGCGAACAATGGAACCGCCGCAATACGAATGGAGAGATCGTTCCAGATCCAGGATCGCAGAACGTGTATATGAATCATGCGAGTTGGCAAAGAAGAGGTGTGTTTGACAATATCTTTCCGTGGAGGGACTCGCTAATCCAGAGTAGCCGCTTTGCCCGACAACGCGTTCCCACCAGGAACACCGTGGTCAACGTTCTGTACTCAATGCGTGACCAACCAAAAGCTGATTGTGGAGATGTTAGCTAACTACATCCCCGAGGAATCTGTGTGTCGCACTTGCTGTCTTTTGTCTTGTTACTGACTCATTCATTAGGACTCCGGATATCATGCGGCCCTCGCTAACATCGCCGCGTATCGTGCCGATCTCGAACGCCGTTACCCTCCTCTTTGCGAAGAATGTCGTCCGCGCGTGGAGGCAGAACTCAAAAAACGTAGCGATGAGGCCACTGCGGAGATTAGGGCTAGTATGGCGACGAGTAGTGGGCCTACCGTAAGCGGAACGCCCATAAAAGCCATGAAGGAAGGCAGGAAGGAAGGCGGAGACTTGAGCACGTGGGAAGTGTACGTTTGGAGGATAAGAGGATTTCTCTGGATCCTGGGACTGGTCTTGTCTGTGGCGAGGTGTGTCAAAGGTACGTCCTGTGATATATTTCCGTTGAAGTGCTGATACTGGCCAAAGTGCTTGTCCACCCATCCGAGGTTCCGCAAGGCGCCAGCGCGGTGCGAGAAGTACTCATTACATTGATATCCATAATATGGACTTCGTGGAACCCGAAATGGTTACGCTACCGGAGATATGTGCAGGCAGGCGTGCCCACCCAAGTTGTCGGGTCGCATATATGGACCGTACGTATGTTCTCTCCACTCTGCTTTTTTCAGGCTTATGGATTGCATAGGCCTTTCAAATTATCATCTATTTCTTCCGTCTCTTGCTGTCGATATCTTACCTCACTCTGACCTCTGCCATATTCTCCGAGCCGCGAGAGGTGTCGCAGATCCTTGGCGCCATCAGCTTGACCGCCGATACCCTCTTAAACTACATCGCATATCGAACAATCATGATTAGGAAGATACCGACCGTCAAGAGGACACTAGCACCACTTGGTGCTGCACCACCTAGACAGACATTCCACGAGAACGCATTGAAAGAACTTCGTCTTTCCGACTCTCCCCAACTCACACGAACACCGACCAGGCAGCAACCCCCTCGACGCGCAAAGACAGCGTCGCCCCATTTCACACCCTTGCAGCCAAACAGCATCATTCGATCTTCCTCACTTGCCCCCGCACAAACTTCCGCTACGATTCTGTCTCCCCCTCGCTTTCCTAGCACCCCTTCCTTAGCCGGTTCATCTATAGCGACAGAAGACGACATCACTCCCATGGACGTTGACCCTCCTACCTCTCAGTCTACTTTCACCGATATCTACTTGAAGCCCCAAACATATCCACCGCGATTCTCCAGTACCGGACTTGAGGACCTGCTCAGCAATTGGAGTCTCCGCGACGCCTCTCCTCCAGCGCTTGACAGGAGAAAAATCGGTACTGCGTGGCAGGAGGTCGGCGTCCTTGAGCTTCTCGAGGGTCTAACGCTCTGTGTGGGATGGACCAGCGGGCAGATGAGGGCGATGCAGATTGCTTGGGCTTGCATTGCCGTGCTGGGGGTGTACAGACTAGGTCAGATGCAGAGAGTGGAGGTTGTGCGTATTCTTCCTTTCGGCCCTTGGGCCGTGGTCGCCGGATTTGGGCTAATCAGATTTTCTCAGGCCGTCGCCGCTGGTGCTGCGCTCTTGAGAGCCGCGCTACCTCTACCTATATTAGCAGCGTGGATGGGCACCTCTCCCGCTGTAGAAGCGCTTCTTTGGGATGTTGTATGTGTGGCTGTAACACTGACTGCGAGGCTCTCCGTGAAGCGGCACGATTGATGATGTTATGTATCCTTGGTTGTAGTCACGACACTCCTATCATTTGTATTAAAATTGCAATACCTCCAAGTGGATTCAATACTAGAGGCAATATGAGCCTTCTCTTTATTTTACGCCGAAATGTTTGAATCAACGGTTTCAGTGATTCAGCGTTACTTTTGTTAGTCCGCTATTAGTCCGCGGGCCCTGTGCGCGCCTAAGAATGTATTACTTCGCCACCAGTCCCTGTGGCACATCCCTCGCAGTACTTCTTATTCCCACTCGTCTCCCCTGTCCTCCACATTTACCTTTTCCTTGCTGGACAATGGCTGCCCCGGGGGAGAATACCTTGCTCACAGCGAAGGTGCGCATATTTCTTAAGCTTGGGTGAGATAAATGATCTCACACCGGAACAGTTCTTTAGAGATGACACTGTCGCCCTGCGTGATCGGCCGACCGAGTTCGCGGTGCTTGTGCGTTGTTGGTACGACGCGATGGAGGATGTTGCGCTTCCCGACACTGGGGATCCGCTTGATCGTCAACTAGTACGAGGTAGGCTCCTGGTGTACTGCGCTCACCGCGGTCGGTGCTGACTGGGCCTCTAGGAGAGTATGGTATCACATTCTTCACGAATGGCCAGCGGGCGCTCGTCTCCGAGTCCGATCTTATCCTCAAGGACCGCGCCTTTCGTCCAGGCGATATTGTCAAGCAGCATCTGACGGATGTGATGAGCGGGATTGTCACTGAGACGTACTGCGAGGTGCAGCTGGAGCATGCGATCACTAAGCGTGCGTTGCAAGGGTGGATCCCCATGCGCGAGGTCGAATTGGATACAGAGGTGGGCGTGGGAGATTATGTCATTCATGGAAATTGGATCGGAACTGTGAGTGTGATACTCCTTCGAGCGGAGCGACAACATACTAAGATTCAAATAGGTACAAGATGTATGTGCTTAATAAGCCCGATGGTTCAGGGGTTTGATCATTGGTATTTAGACATTTGAAGAGACGACGTGCATCTCCCACTCGGGGAAACCGAGTCGAATAGCGGAGCCTGGCGCACATTTTCTCGTTGGGGAGAAGACCACCGTATGTCTGTGAACCTAAACGCTGGGGACGAGCGCTTATTCGTTTACAGGAAATCCTCGACCCTCGTTACCTTGCATTTCTTGGCAACACAGAACGCGTTGTGATTGCAACCAAACCTATTGCTGCTGCCGTCTCGTGGCTTGCGCTGAACCAGTCTCTACCGGCCGCAGAAGCAGCGTCAATACCCCGACCGAAGCGGAACTGGGCTGGCAGGGAGCTGAACGACCTTCAACGTGTTGTGCTTGGAAGTTACGACTGTCACCGGATAATGGAACGCGTTCGATTCAAGGACCCGGAGGTCGCGAGGACGAGAGGCGCGCAGCCGTCTTTGTTTCCCATGAACCGGACTACCTGCATCGCAGTCGACACGTTGATCGTTACTGATACCAGGATGCTTGTCACAATACTGTGGCAGGATGGTACGACGTCGAAACATCATTCATCGGTGTCGGTTCCGCATACCAACATCGATGAGTACGATTGTTGGTACGTATTCTTTCGCAGGTAAAAAGTCCGTGGGGCTCACGATAGTCCAGGCCAGGTGATCAAGTAATGTGGAAGGGAGAAGATGGGCCTCAGGCGGTTGTTGTACAGAAAGTGTCTCCAACACAACGAACTATTGAAGTGATGCTCTTAAAGGACCGGACGAAGGAGACAGTTTCCGCCTTAGAGATCGATCCACAAGGACCTTTACCGAGTATATACGGGGTACGACACGGTGATATGGTCTTAATCAACCTCGTGAACAATGGAGAACAGGCGCCCGTCGTACCAAGGCTAGGTGAGATCGAACCCTGGATCAGGACACCTGGCGATGGCAGGAATGGTTGGCGAACAGAGCTCGCTAAGCTCGGACTGCAGGCGCTGAACCGAGCGGATCCTGGAGATGGGCGGTTACGACCTGCCACTGACGTGGAGTGGGTGGGCCAGGTCATCACAAACCGGCTAGACGGTGACATCGAGATCATGCTACCATCCGGCAAGACACTTGTTGAGCCACTGAACAAGTTATCATTATTGATCGACGACGTGGAAGAGATCCAGATGGACGAATGGTTGGAAGACGAGGAGGGTGAAGAGGGTGACGAGATGGACATCGACGGCGCTGGCAGTGATTGGAGCGAAGGGAGCTGGGAGACTGTGGATCATGGGGAACAGGAGCAAGATTGGGCAGCAGAGCAAGAAGACGAGCCGCCGCTCATCCATGTCACTCACCCCGATGATATCGAGATGAACGGGGCTGAAGAACCAGTTGCACCCGGGGGATTTGCCACACCGTCAGGGGAGACAGGAAAGTCGACCGAACCTACGCCGACGCCCCCAAGATCGAATGCTGTATCCCCGCCACCGCCTCCTACCCCCGCTGTATTACGTGTGGACAGCCCAAATTGGGAGCGGTTTGTCATTCAAGAGCAATGCCCACCAGATCACCACTTTGCCAATCGAGAGTCTAGCGTGCCTGGCAAGGCATTCTTAGGCAGGTTGCAGAAGGAGTACAAGGTTCTGCAGTCAAGCCTGCCAGGTAATGTGGCTCCAGTGGATCGCGTCGTTAGAGTATTAATCACTCTGCAGAGACCATTCTTGTGCGAGCATATGAAGACCGCACAGATCTTCTCCGGTGTCTCATTATCGGACCCGACAATACGCCGTATGAAGATGCTCCCTTCGTCATTGACTGGTATCTTGAGCCCACATTTCCTCAAGCGCCACCTCAGGCGCATTTCCACAGCTGGACCAATGGAAATGGTCGAGTTAATCCGTGAGTAATTGTCATCATTCATAACGTATCCCAACTTCTCAACCCCTGCACAGTAACTTGTACGAAGAAGGAAAAGTTTGCCTTTCCATCCTGAATACTTGGACCGGCGACCGTGCCGAGTCCTGGAGTGCTGCACGTTCGTCCCTGTTGCAGGCCTTTGTCTCCATTCAGGGTCTCGTGCTGGTCAAGGAACCGTGGTTCTGTGAGCCCGCATACGAAAAGCTCCGTGGCACCCAAGAGGCCGAAGTCAGCAGCCGATTATATAGCGAAAAGGCATACGTTCTCTCCCGGGGTTTCGTGCGGCATGCCCTGGAGCAACTTCCGGGAGGATTAGAAAACGAAGTTCAGTGGCATTACTACGACCGTCATGTACTGGCCAAAGTCATCCGTGACGCAAATGAGCTTATTTCAAAGAGCGAGCAAGAAGGGGACGACCCTCATGTACCAGGTGATCGAGCTGTACCGAGACTAACACAGGGAGGCATCTTGCCACTACGTAGAACCCTCGCGAAGTTGCAAGTTCTTCTGGATACTCGGGCATCAGCTGCTTAACCTGATCAACTGCCTTGGCTCGGAGGTTACAATGCCACATTACACATCACGTTGTATTCATATCATGAGCTCAATGTCATCATCACTAGACAATTCATCAACAGAATGTTATGACGTTAATATTATAGCACTTTTTGGCTTTGCACCCAGTCGCGTGACCGTAACAACCGGGCCGCATCAACGCGCCGCCGGCACCAATCAAAAACAATGGGCGTATGAACTTTCAAGTACGTCTTGTGTTCTGAAAGCTGCTTCATTGCGCAGTCTGGCTGTATGGCCCATCAAGCGATGTACCCTTCACACTCGGCAGGAGCTCTTCCTTCGGCGGCTGAGAGCTGAGGACGCGAATTACCTCGGCAGCACACTCCTCAAAGGAGTTGATCAAAGCCTGCAGGGCCAGAGATACTTATATTAACTCTCAATGAGGAGACACTGACGTGCACACTTGTTTACTGCTAGTTACTTCCTCTGCCATGGAGACTGAGCTCAACAAACTCGTCGCGGCTTTGTGTACTTCTGCGTCTGTGCTCCAAGGTGCTCTCAACGATGAGAATGTGCCCAACTTCAGGAGCGATGACCCTTCTCCCCATCCCTGGGATGGTGGTGTCCCCCCGCCATCGGCGTGGTACGCTCGCAAGGCGCTAGTCGGTCTCTGTTACCAAATCATTGCATTGGTACAAGATCCCCTGGAGCGGTCTATCATTGACTTTACCAGCTTCAGTCTGGCATCCTCCATGAATGCTGTGGTACGAACACAACCCACAGTTGCTGAAGTTGTCCTCGCATCTGGCTCTGACGGCATCGCCGTGAAAGACTTGGCTAAGAATACAGGACTGGACGAGACCAAGTTATGTGCGCCCACCTTTGCCTGTCCCTTCGTGTAGCGCAAATAGCTGATAAGATCCAAGATTCTCTCATGCACCTTCTCTGCACCTGGAACTACTTCAAAGAAATAGAAGGGGGACATATTTCCGCGACCAGGTCGACCCGTGCTCTACTTCCTGACTCATTTGTCCATGGCCTGTCCGACTCTATCATTGCCGGAACAGCAGCCGCTTCTATGCTATGGGAAGCTGCAAAGACGCCTTCTGGCAGCCAACACCCGGTACGCCGTCCGAATTATCTAGCGGATCTACTGAACCGAAAGTGCCTAGTCCCCTTTCTCCCTATATCATCACGTCGAAATATACGATTGGATAAAGGCACGTCCCGACCAAATCGAGAGATTTGGACGGGCAATGGATACCGCCGAGAAAACCTTAGATCCAGGCTTCATTCTCGACTTGCCTGTCCAAGACCTTGGCCCGAACATTACCCTGGTTGATATTGGCTCGGGTGTCGGAGGATTGCCCATGCAGCTCTTGAAACGGAACCCGGGGTGGAAGGCAGTCTTACAAGACCAGGAAATTCTCATTCCTCAGATGGAATCTGTATGCACGGCCTCTCATTTTGATCGTTCCATTGACTCACATTAGTTCGCGCTAGTTCTGGAAAAAAGATGCGCCGGAAATTGTTGAGTCAGGCAGGGTTACTTTCCTTGGGCACAGCTTCTTCGAGCCGACCCCCCTGCCGCCGGCCCCCAAAGACAGCCCGTATGTCTTCATGATCAAGAGCGTTCTTCACAACTGGCCTGATGATCTTGCGGCCAAAATCCTTGAGGTACGAACGGCAGCTCACACACAATGAGAGGGTATATTCATAAAACCCAGAACCTGTTGCCCGCAGCCCCCCCGGGGACGGTATTGATGATCGTGAACTATACCCCGGCCGAGCCAGAGCCGTCTAAGACGACAGTGGAAGAATTCTTCCGGCGTATCAATAAGCACAGTATGGCAGAGATCCAGAAAGCGAAGATCCCCCTCCCTGATCTTCTTGGTGTCGGATGGGGCTTCGGCGATGCTTCGGGTATGTACAGTCTGTCCCTCCTTGTGTGCAAGTTGAAGTATTGATACCATTACTACTAGTCTCCACCGCCGACATGTTGATGATGCTGTTGATGGGATCGCAGTGTCGTACAGTCACGGCTTTGAAGGCTTTGCTGGAGACCACTTCGTGGAAGTTTGAAGGTAGAACAGATTACCGTGGGACTACCTCCGTCATCAAGGCTAGGCGAGTCTGACATAGGATCCCGTCTGGGCTGTAACTACACAGTGACATAAATGTTGTACTGCACTACAGGAAATGAACCAAAATAAGGCTGGAACATCGTTCATAATGCAATGCCACCAAAGAAGACTGCATGGATTCCCAGGAGACAGACAAGTGAAATGACCGTGGTTCGTGGTTCAGATAACATATCCCATCCGATGCCTGCATATTGAGGATTGTGGAAATGTAGCTCTTTGAGAAAGTCAGAGACGTGAGCACATCGCATCCCCGTGTTCGGTGAGGGTCATCATGATGTCTCGGAGTTCACAGCACCGACTTATCGCATCTGGAGGTCGTGATCCGCGGAATACGGCTCTGAAACACGTGATTGTTAGAAGCAAGGGTTGCTCTTCGTTCCACGCGTCGCTGCATCTTCAACGTTGCCAAACTAGTTCAGCGTTTAATCTTTCGAGCGTCTCGTGTTCGCGATGCGGCTTCATCAGCCGGAATGCGCTGGCTACATTACCCTATTCAATGATACATTCGTGTATCCTCCACACTCGGCAGGGGCTCTTCCTTCGGCCGCTGAGCACTGACGACGCGAACTACCTCGGCAGCACCAACCCCAACCTGAAGCGTCCAGAAGCAGAGGTACTTATATATACTCTGATATAACAGGGTATTAACTTTCACACCGATCAACTACAAATATCAAATTCCGCGACCATGGAGACTGAGCTGAACAGACTCGTCTCGGCTTTGTGTACTTCTGCGTCTGTACTCCAAGGTGCTCTCAACGATGAGAATGTGCCCAGCTTCAGGAGCGATGACCCTTCTCCCCATCCCTGTGATGGTGGTATTCCCCCTCCATCGGCCTGGTACGCTCGCAAGGCACTAGTCGGCCTCTGTCATCAGATCATTGCACTGGTACAGGATCCCCTGGAGCGGTCTATCATTGACTTCACCAGCTTCAATGTATCCTCATCCATCAATGCGGTGACAAGAACTCGACCGACTGTTGCAGAGGTTGTCCTCTCCACTGGATCCAAGGGCATTGCCATGAAGAATTTGGCTGAGAATACAGGACTGAACGAGACGAAGTTATGTGCGCCACATGTTTTACTTCTCCAAATGAAGCAAGTCGCTCATAGTATCCAAGATTCGCTGATGCATGTTTTCTGCACGTGGGGCTACTTCAAAGAGAGAGAAGGGGGATACATTACCGCGACCAGGTGGACCCGAGCGCTTCTTCCCGAGTCATTTGTTGATGACTTGTCTGGGGCTATTGTTGCAGGCACCGCAGCAGCTTCTATGCTAGGGGAGGCTGCAAAGACACCCTCTGATAGCCAACACTCTGTGAGCCACCTATTACTACTTTGGAGCTTCTGTTAAATCAAAATGCTTTAGTCCCCATTTGCGTTATATCATCACATCGAATTGTACGATTGGGTCAAGGCACATCCTGAGCAGATAAGGCCCTTCGGGCGGGCAATGGATACTGCTGAGAAAATCTTAGATCCAGGCTTCGTGCTCGATTTGCCTGTTCAAGACCTTGGCCCGAAAGTTACGCTCGTTGATGTTGGATCGGGTGTCGGAGGACTGTCCATGCAGCTCATGAAACGGAACCCTGGTTGGAAGCTTGTCTTACAAGACCAGCAGGTCCTCATTCCGCAGATGGAAGCTGTAGGTTCCCTCTCCTCTAATTGATTCATTGAATCTCATTATTTACATTAGTTCTGGAAGAAAGATGTGCCGGAAATTGTGGAGTCAGGTAGAGTCACTTTCCTTGGGCACAGCTTCTTCGAACCTGCTCCCCTGCCGCCGGCTCCCGAAGATAGTCCATATGTCTTCATGATCAAGAGTGTTCTTCATAATTGGCCTGACGATCTTGCGGCTAAGATCCTCGAGGTAAGAAAGGCAGCGCTCAGCTGATGAGAGGGCTTACTGTATAAACATAGAACCTGTTACCCGCAGCACCTCCAGGGACGGTTCTGATGATCGTGAACTATACCCCAGCTGAACCGGAGCCGTCTAAGACGACAGTGGAAGAATTCTTCCGGCGTATCGATAAGCACAGCATGGCAGAGATCCAGGAAGCGAAGATCCCCCTCCCTGATCTTTTGGGTGTCGGATGGGGCTTCGGCGATGCTTCGGGTATGCACATTGCGCTCTAGCTTCCGCGCAGTCAGAAACCTAATACTAACACGATAACCCACCAGTTTCCTCCTTCGATATGTTGATGATGCTCTTGGTAGGATCTCGGTGTCGCACGGCCACGGCCTTGAAGGCCTTGCTAGAAACCACTTCGTGGAAGTTCGAGAGCAGGTGCGATTATCGTGGGACTACGTCAGTTATTAAAGCTAGGCGAATTTGAGAGAAAGACGGTCTACGCCAAGTGCCCAATATTGAGTAATTCGATCATGCCCTCACTACGTCCCAAGTCCGCTCCGTCGCTACAAGAGCTGATGATACAGTCATTGAAATATAATCGAAGTGAGGGAAGAATTACTGTACCTCAACTGGTGGAGAGTTAACGGCTTCCAATCTCTGATTTTTCCCAAGACCTGTGTCACGTGATAAGCCTGAAAACGTCCCAGAACGCAACTCCACAGTATCAGTTTCCGTGTTGGACGTGCTGATGATACTCCTTTTCGGATCCCGTTGCCGTACGGTATCGGACTTTTCACTTTAGAGACTTGTTGGAGGGGGCTTCGTGGAAGTTTGAGAGCAAGAGGGGTTATCACGGGGCTGCCTCGGTGATCAAGGCCATACGGGTATGAGAGGGAATATATACTTTCCCAGATAACTGCTCTGTCCTTGCCCAAAATACTCAGATTGTACACGTCCACCGTGCGCCTGAGAGTAACGACCCTCAACTGAGGTCAAAACCATCCATTCACCCCTAATACCTCGAAGACGGTGTCCAACGTTCCGCGAATAAAAATCCATCATCATTGTGCACGAGCATATACAATTTTTGCAACTAGTACGATAAAACAGACCCAACAAGAGGTATCAAATCAACCACCAACCACCCTCTGCACCTGCACCAAATAACGCAAGCACTGGCAGCAGAGGGCGAACGACAGCAGGGTATCATCCTCCTGCTCAGAGGATTGTAGATAGGAGAAGTAGGAGGGAAACGAAATATCGGATCGTGAAAGGACTGGGTTGAGGCAAGCGAATGACTGCGAGTCAACAAAGATGGAGGGAAACGAATAAAAGCGGATAAAGTGAGAGGGAAAAGAAGTGAATGATTGCGGCTAATAATGGTAAATGCATGAGAGTGCTCGTATCGAACAAGATGCCAAAGTTAAGATGTCTTTTTGGGTGGTCGGTAGGTTGGTTGGTAGGTTGTGTTGTTTCGGTGGATCGGGGTGGGGAGATTCGAGCTGGGTGTGTGGGAGTCGAGGGTCAGTGTGGGTCGGCTGGGCAGAACACTCGGTGAAGGAGTGCGAGTGCGGTATGGCTACAACGCCCCGGCTCTGGCGGTAGCGTGTCTATGCGGGTACGTGGATGCAAGTGAGGCAAACGACGGCGTATAAGGGCGTATGGACGAAACAAGGCCGTGGGAGACGAAGCCACGGTGAAAGGCAGGAGAACAAATCGGATTGGAAGGAGAGCAGGAAACCGCTCTCAACAAGTATCGATCAGCTTGTTCTTAGGCCACACCGACCCCGAAGCTTGAGCATACGAGTCCCAAGTCGTCAAGTTCCAATTCGAGTATGCCTCGATATGCCTACATTCCCCTTGGTCAGAACTCTGGATACGACAGGAGAGAGACAAGGGAGCTTACTTGTTGATGTACGCCGCAGTCGGGTGGTCAGCCGGGTCGCAGCCGATATTCGTCTGCCCTTGCCGCTGATACACGCGCACATAATCCACAAGCAGATACACAGGGAACACAAGTTGGTCATAATCGATCGCGCCGAAGTTCTCTGATATGCCCAAGTTGGCAAGGATGTACATCGGTTCCGCCGGGATGTTCCTACTCTTGATCTGGACATTGTCGTCTGGTCCCATACCGGCTTGGTAGATGGTCCATGCCGGCTGGCCGTTGTTGATCCAAGTGATGTACCCGCTGTCGCCGGGTTCGTACTCGAAGCCGTATACGGCGAAGCAGCCCGTTTCACCCGACTGATGCCCGGTGTAGCAGTTCTGGTTCGTCACGCTTACGGAGGAAGCGGCTTGTTGATATACTCCACCGAGGTAGGTGTTTGCCGTGGTGACTTCGGGGTTGTAGATCTTATAGTACGCATCGGTGAGATTGGGATACTGTGATAGACGGTCAGTTTCACGTCCAATCAGCTGGCCAGTTCGAACACACCTGCCAGTACGCATCAAACGGTGCCATCTGTACAGACTGGGAGACCGCACCCGTCAGTGTATCTTGAAACACCTGAGCTTCGAGAATATCGATTTCTGGCGCCGAGCGACCTGCCATGCTCCCATCGGAGAGTACCGGTCCCGGATGATCTTCCCCAAGGCAGGTGCAGGCGCTGAGCCTCTGACCAGGGAGGAAGGAGAGCGCTCCGTTCCAGTTCGGGTCACCGGTCGTGAGTGCATCTACGGGCTGGTCGTTTAGCGTCTGGTTCGCGAGTGTACCGACGTCGCATGTCGTATAGGTGTAGGGCCACATCCCATCTAGGGACGCGCCGTACCCTGCACGACCGAGGTTGCCCATCGTCCATATAGCAGGCCAGAGACCCCAGACCGTCGGATCACCAGGCAAGGAGACTGATACTGAACGAGGATCGGATATGAGCACGCGCATATATCGAGTATGCACAATAACAAACCTTCGATGTAACCTCCCGTAAAGCAAAACTTGTTCCATGTGCTCATCATCCCACCCATGTAGTTGAGGTTGTGGTTACGCGTCTTGTTAAGCCAGATCTTGAGGTTCCCGCCAGTGGTCGTGATCGCTGCGGGGTCATACCACTCAAGGTTGTTCGTTTCCCTGTATACGGTGAGCGCCAATTAGGAGACCAATTGCATACCACAAACCAATAATGCAGGTTGACTGCCTCCCAGTACGGGTCATCACCCGGGTAGAAAGATCGCCCATCAACGTTAAACTCGTCGCTGAAGACCAGCTCATACGGGCTCTGATCCATCCACCCTGTATGACTCTTGGCCGAATCGGGTGTCTGGGTGTCCACCAGGCCCAGAGCACCAGTGATCTCAGGTACTTGACCCGTCATGTTTATCCCTCCGAGGTTGAAGCCGCCTTGGGTCTTCTGATGGTTGGTAGTGAAGAATGAGATGATGGGATATCCCGCACTGCACAGAGCATTCACGTCAGTATCCAACAACCCCAGAATGGTACTACTCACAAGAGCGCGATAAGACCCGCAGCCATGATGAACAGACACCCTAGGTTGACAATCCCTCGAGCAGTGAACATCGTCCCCCCTCTATCGTTCTTCCTGTCTCGTTTCGGATCAGGGTTGTGTAGGTAGTCATCCGACTCCCGGTCTGCCATGCTGAGGTTCCCACCCCATGAAGAGGGGTCGGGGGATAGGGAGAACTTGTCTGATATAGAGGATGCTGCTGCTAATGATTTAGGGCTCTGGACGTTTGCGTTAGTCGGGCAATAACTGGGAGAAGGGAGGACGTACAGCTTGTGGAGGTGCGCTAAGGGCTGCACGAGGTGTAGCGCCATTTGTTGGTTGAGGACGGAGAGCAGTACTAGTGCTTGACAATAGGCTTGAAGTGCTGCTCGCTGCTGAGTTGAGTCCTCCTGGTGGCATAAGATGTGTGCTGGAATTAGCCGGGGAGGGGGTGCCGCCATACGGCCTGTTGGTGACTGTGTTCCTCCCTCCCATGGGTGAAGGGGTTGCTGGTGAGCGGGTGAAAGGGTTGCGTGAAGAGGAAGATGAAGTGCTAGAAGGGGAAGGGTCGAGCTGCCTGCGCTCTGGAGTGACGGGGTTTACGGTGATGGGTAGTCGTGCGGCGTTGAGGTTTGTTTTGGGTGGTGGTGGTGGACGGGCTGATGAAGAAGAGGAGGAGGAAGCGGTGAAAGGGTAAGCGGACTTTGAGGGCATTGTTGGAATTGAACGGGGAAGACGGTGAGGGCGGTGTGAAGAGTGTGACCAAGAGAGAGATCGACGTCGAAAACTCGTCGCCGTCGTCTTACCTCACTGCTTCACTTCATTCCCCCTTTACCCTTTCTGCATTGGAGTTTCCCTTTCATTCACCCTCACGTGCATTTACTCCCGCTAAACGATACATCACTTGCTTCCGCTCACTCCATACCCGCTTTTGTGCCTTGGCTGGTGACCGCCACATGCTTTCATTCAATTTCATTCCATGCGCACCGTCCCCCCTTGCAACTTGACAACATCGACCCACTTGTCCAATATTTCTCACAATCCCCCAAACACCGTAGTCAGCGTCCTCACGCGCTCCAGTAACAACGCAGCACTAAGCCCCTCAGTCCTCGCGGATAAATTTAGTGGCTGCTGCGCCCGTCTTCTAGGCGGTTATTTATACTCGCTAGTCTTTCTCTACAGAACGGTGAAGAAACATACTCATGATCGTTCCAAGTCGGGAGAACTGTGAACTGTGGACTCGAGTGCATGTGGGAACGTGCGACAATGACCTAGACAATCAGAGAATTGTGAACTGTGTTGACTTGAATACATTCCAGGTGGAACATCCGACCGTTTCAGAGAAACCGAACCACACGGTCTCTTTCGGAAGTTAAGGTCACTGGGGTCCGTAACAACCCCCGTTTCTTCTTTACCTCCCACCTCTTCGCGTATGTTCCATAACCCCGCTTTCATCAGCTTCAGTTTCTGCCAGTTCTGTTTCTGTTTCGATAATCCTCAGGTATACAGCATACTACAACAACAAATTTCCGTTATTTATTATTTCTCTTGTTCCTCGCATCTTCATCATTGTCAGACCCATACTGTACCGCCCCATCAGTGCATATGTGAACTCGAACTCATCGTGAAAAAATGGAGTCATGAAGAAAATGAAATCCAATCGTATCCCTCTTCCGGGATGATCAACCACTGTTCTCACTCCGCCCTATATCCGCTATCAGAATATCAATCAGCGGGGTAGGAGCCACCACTCACCAAATTGGTTTCTTATCCGCGATGCCCGGTGTGGAGACACCCTCGTCCGGGTCAGCGAACGGGTCACTCAGATCAACCAACAAGCCCGACCCGCCAGCCGGGGCAGAACCAGAGCCAAGATTCTTCCCATTCCCATTGCTTGTATTCGTATCATATCTTGCCTGGCTGCTCGTGCTCGCCTGGCGCGAATGCGTGTGATGCGACCCGGAGCCGTACCTCTCATCCTCGCTATCGTAGTCAGAGTAGTCGCTCAGCCCAGCCTGGCGATCGTCGTCGCTGTCCTCACTCGGCCTCAGGGGTTCAGGGAGGCTGTTCCTGCCCGCAATAGGGCCGAAGGAGAGGTCGCGTAGATCCGGGTGCACATACTCGTCTTGCGTGTGAGAAGCGCGAGACCGACGTGCAGGCCGCTCGCCATGCATGTCGCGCATGGAGTTCACTCGCTCGACCCGTTCGCGCTGCTTGATCTGGAGCTTGTCGAGTTCCGTCTCGCGAGCACCGCGAGCCTCCACACGAGCGCGAGCAGCTTCAGCCGGATCCTTAGCAGCTTCAGCAGCACCGCGTTCCTCGTCGCTATCGTGTTCCGCAGGCTTGCACATCTGGTCATACAGGAAGATCGACGAGATGATCCGCTCGTTCGTCTCCAGTAGAGTACCGATCACTTCCTCGTTCTCAGTGAGCTGGATGTAGCGCACGATCTGGCGCCGCGCGAGCTTGGCTTTCTGCAGTGTATCCTGCACCCTTGGATTGGCCTGCACTGTCTCTTTCTCCCGGTTCACAAGCTTGAGCGCATTGATGAGGTTGTTGGAACACTGTGAGGCCGTCGCGATAGAGTTGAGGATGTTGGGCTTCTCCTGCATAGACATCAGTTACAAATGCCGATAGACACTTCTGCGAATCCGCACCTTCTCATAGTTGAAAGGCGGCCTCTTAGCCTTAGGTGGCTCCTTCGCTTTCTTAGCGTCAGCAGCCGCCTTCTCACGCTCCATCTTAACCCTGATCTTCTCCTTCGCCAACTCTTCACGTTCGCGGGCAATGGCTTTCTTCTCCTCCTGCAACTTGCGCTTGTCGTCCTCACGGCGCTTCCGCTCCCGCTCCTGCCGCAACCGAGCTTCCTCTTGCTCGATGCGCTGCTGCCGCTCCCAGAGAGTCTGACCATCGTAGCCATCGAAATCACGCGCCGAGTTGGGAGGAGACGCCGACACGTTTGACAAAGTGGCCGAGTCACGGGTGCTGCTCCTCTCGTGCTGAACATCCACGTTCAGTAAACAGCTTTTTTGATTTCCAAAATAGCGCTCACATGAGCCACCGTCTTTCCCTTGCCTCCTCCGCATGCGATGTACAGATCGGCGACGGTCTTCATCTTCGGATCATCCTTGAACAGCCTATGCCACGACGCCAACAAAGCAAGTAACCGTTTCTTGACGCTCTCGTCCGTCATAGGATCAGCCGCCATCAGCTTGATACGGTCGCAGAACTGGGCATTTGCAAACCCAGCTGATTAGGAGTGAGCGGTCGACGGGGGGGGACAAATGGCGCAGACATACTGCGAAAGCGAGGACCACAGTTCTCTACCAGTGCTTTGAGGATCTGTGCATCAAACTGAGTACCATCGCCCGCCATTCATGCAGAGTAGAACATACAGTTAAAGCGCGTAATTGACGGTGTATGTTACCGTACTTGAGCTTCTTCCTGATCGCCCTGGCTGCCTCGGTAGTACCCTCCATGCCTTGGATATTGACACTCTCCACAAGCTCCGGGATGCCATCGAGGTCATCGATAGAGTACTTCTCAGAGGACAGAATCTCAATCCAGTCGGTCACAGACGACTTCGACAGGTGTGAGTGGGATGCGTAGGGGAGCGTAGAGAGACGTGACGAACGTGTGGCTTTTCGGCGCTGAACCCCTGTACAGCGTGCGCCGCCCACTTGAGGCCCTCTATGGTCGTCATGATTGCGTGAATACAACTGCAGCAAGCAGTCTCAGACTGAAGAATATATGAATACCCAGTCGATGGGAAGGATGGTGACCGGGAGAGAAGACGCCGTGAGGTTAGGAGTTGTGTGCAACCCTACAACAACGAGGAGGACAATTGCGGGCGTTGGCGGGATCATGCGGATGAAAGAGTCCACGATGGCTGTTCTGATGACGTCGCCTCGGCCGAGGAGCACACCGCCTTGTAACGTACTCTCTTTACGACTTCATTACAGTAAGAACCATATACATTCGATTGTGCAAGTATAACAAAACGCTACTATCACGACCATACTCAGGGATTGACGACCTCATGGCATTCGACCAGCGCTACTGTAATACAATCAACACGTTACACGCTGGATAGTCTCTCGAGCACGTCCGGAAATCGGGGCACTGGATTGATCTTGAATGGCTTTGGATGAACTGCGATAACTATATCAATCATCCCCATTGGGTCCGGGGCAATCTCCTTCCCAGTCTCGTCTAAAGGCAGCTTGAAGTCGAGCGCCCACAGGAGCGTCGCAATGAGAATGAAGAGCGAGTTCATCGCGAGGTCTTTCCCTGGACAAACGCGGCGACCGTGACCGAAACCAAGCAAGTCGTCGTGCGTGTCTGGAGGAGGGTTGCGGATCTGGCCATTGCTGTCTAGGAATCGGCTTGGATCGAACGTAGAGGGGTTCGGGAATAACTCAGGATCATGAAGGATCCCCCTGATTTCTCTCAGCGCCTCCACTTTGACATTCTCTTCTCCGGACTCACCAGATACTGTCGATGATGAAAGTGTCTTTGGGTATGACATACCCGTTGTACTCAAATTCCTTTGCATACTCAGACTGAAATCCAATTCAGATGCCAACACCACCCACCTCAGAGGACCAATGAGGAATGCTAACTGGGGCAGAAGGTCGCCATCTCAACACCTCCTTCCCAACGGCCTGGATCTATGACAGATTGTCTCTATCAGCGAATGTAGGCGGTCGATCTCCGACGACTTTGTTCAACTCTTCCTGAGCTTTCCTGGCCACTTCAGGGTAGAGCATCATTGCCTGTACGAACCATTGCATCGTCGTTGCTGTCGTGTCCTGACCTGCCATGCTTGGACATAGTGAGACATGTTCATTCACGCAAAGCCGGGCCTTACAAGAGGGCGCCTGCCGACCATGAGCTCTGCACTTTGGTGATCTCATGTTTCTCAATCATATCCTGGAATATCTTGCAGGTCGACCTGTATGAGTCTGACTGTTGCTCCGTATTGTAAGTGTCCTTCTACCGTGCAGTAACAGACTGCTCACCTTCAAGTTGCAGGCTGCGTCGTAAAATCGATTGAAGATCCCCGTCGTTTCCTCGTACCAAGCGTCAGCCGACTTCCGCAGCCATTTCGAGTTTCGTATAATCGGAGCCAAGAACGGCAAAAGATCCACCACGGAGTTGAGCGGCATAACGGCCTTGAGAAGGTACTCCATCGTTTCCTCAATCCGCTGTGAGTCATGAGGTTGATTGAGAGCCAGGGTATTTCCGCCATACAGCACCCGCCAGACCACCGATGAGGCCGTTCTACTCATATGCACTGCAATGGGCACCTCTGGATGCTCGATCAAGCCTCGAACTGTGTTTGCAGCCTCTTCCTGTTGCATGGGGAAATAGGCATTACATGCCCGTATATTGAGGCTTGAGGAAGATGAATGCTCTTTCTCGCCATCCGATAATGCTCGCCTACCTCTCGTGTGTGCCTTTTCTGAACAATCTCCATCTGCGCCTTCATTAGTGCTTATCGATCGGCTCAGTTTCAAAATTCACGCACAGCGGTCCGTGGGGTTCAGCGGCCATAGCGTTACCCCTTGACAGAAATTCTTGCGTCTTGATCGATGGCGGCCGATCGGATGTTGATGCACAATGCCGATCCAGGATGTCGGCTGCGGTCTTCCAGTTGTTGACGATCAACCATGGCTGACCCGCGACGTTCAAGCTAAAAACCGGCCCTGGATGCAGGACCGATCGATCCTGGAACTGAACCCAGACCTGTGGATGTAGCGGACCAATTCTCACCATAATCTTTTGACCAGTCGGTCAGCTTCCAAAGGAGAAATTCCTTGGGAAGCTGCAGCATGTTTCCGAATATGGGCAGGCCAGGAGGACCGGGCAGCATATTCCATCTCTTCCGGCTCAGCAAGCGGGCAAGAAGAAGCCCCAGTACCCCAGCAAAGACGTAGATGGAGAGTGCCATGTCACGATCGCGACCTTCTGTGTTCAGCAACATGCTAGCATTTATAACCCTCGCATGGAGGGTCCATTGGTGATGCAACCATCTGAGCTTCGGACAAGGCATGCGGGCTGAACAGAATCAGCCAATTATTTAATGCTTGCTGTCCTTCTTGTGAGTTGTGATTGGCCGGGACGTGCGCAGATGTAGTCACCTGGCGAGAAGTTCAGCGACATGCTGTATTTGGTACCTGGTGCACTTGCAGAAGACCACATCGCCGGAACAAACTGATTGGTATTCCCGCGTCTTCCTATCATTACAAGAACTTAAAATATGGGTTACGGCCGCACTGCAGACATCTCGGTACACAATGATCGATCCCTACACCCTGACCGGACTGGACCTAACAATCCAGTCCGCTTTCTCGGTGCAGTCAAAAGGCCCAACCATGGGCCCGCCCTCTTCAAACCCGTCGTAGACAAACCGCTACAAGAAGGCGTTTGCCGACGATTACCTCTGGGATTTGGTGATTCGTTCTCTACCGTGGTCGTGTCGGCATCTAGGTCCTCTCAGATCAGCAACGCGACGCGGACAGATTGGAAAGCGCTACTCACGGCGCATCCGTGACAAAGTGACCCGCCCGCCGATTGAGTTCGTCCTGCTGGCTTGCAAGCCCTTCGTTTCCCTTCACTCGTTCCATGGACGCCGCCTTATGGCATACCACCAGGATCCGATCCACGAACGCCAATGCGAGAGCAAAGTTGTAGTCTCGCTCTGCGGCCCTATATCGTTCGTCCAGGTACTTATAGAGCTGGCCAATCCGATCATACGCAACGAATCCAGGACGTGTTTGCCAAGGGATATCGTGCACCATCCATTTGTTTTCTTCGCTTCGTGCCTCCACTTCGGCTTTTGTTCGGTCGTCGGCGGTGTAATCGATGCGTGAGAGGGTATGTTGGAGATCGGCACTTTTCTGTGACCAGAAGCTGATGGCCGCGATCCATTCTTCGAAAAATGTGTAGGACATGGTGCCGATTTGTCTTAGAAGACTACTTACGTTGTAGGAGGAGTTGTTGGGAAATCGAATCGAGAGGGCAAAGGCGATAATAAGTGCTTTCGGAGAACAACAGTCATTGTTGTAGATTGTGTACATAACATACGTGACTCGCGCCAAGGTCCGTAAAACGCCAATTTTATTCATGATTGGATTGATCCTGAGTTACGAGTTTATAGAAATTCCTACCGGGAAGACGAGCACTCCGAAAGCAGAGGTCGGGGACGACAACAGTCATCATTATAATTGGCGGGGGTGACTCTGCCAAATCCGCCCGCGAGCAACCCTTATGCCGAGAAGGAACAACAAACAACCTTTTTCTCCCAACTTATTCTGAGCAAGACGGGGGAAGGGCTGTGTGCGAAGAGAAGGTCGAGTTGTTGCTTCATTGATCGAGTCAGGACGAGTTGTGACAATGCCCCTATCTGATCATACCACCAACCAGGACGGATTCCGCCAGCTCGGTACAGTCACGTAACCATGTACTTTTTCTGTAACTGATTACCTCTTGATAGTCTCAAGATTCGACAAAGAAATGACTGGAAGGTTTGGTTCCTCGATACAGTTCGCAAGCCCATTGTCCTTCTTGGGAGTCATCTATCTATCATCGATGCCATTGTTCTGTGACTCCGGCCGGGACGAGACAGTACGCCGCCGCATCGACCGTCCTGGGATCGAAAGCCACGGTAGAGCGCCGGGGATCATCGTCTGGCCGTTGTATGTAGTTCCTCTTGACTTTTTCCAATGGGAGCACAGGGGGGGATCGGCGACTCGGCGCATCTTATGACACCCTTTGCTACCTATTGTTCAACACTGCTGGTATTCCCGCATCGCATGCATACATGATTATAGACCAATTATATTGTACATCGTCTTCTCGCTAAGACTGCGCACTGTCCTGCTCCTGCATAACATGAACCCGCCTTGAACTCTACAGACGACGGCGGAAAGCTCCGACGAGTTTCCCTGATCCGTTCTCCGAAATTCCTCAAACAATACATGATCCCTACGCTCTGACCGGACTGACAGCCCTAGATCTTAACCTCCTTCAAGCAATACATGATCCCTACGCTCTGACCGGAGCGACAGCCCTAGATCTCAACCTCCTCTTAGGCGGGGTAGTCAAGGACAACCCGCCCACGCCAAACTCGTCCTCTTTCGTCGGGGAGCCAAAAAGCATCCCCCGTTCAGGGAAGACGTTCGCCTGACCTCTCCGTTCTGCGAGCGGGGTCTTCTTTGGGCTCGGGCTCGTGTTGGGACTCGACCGTTTTTGCGGTGAGCTGTCCGTATAGTGGCAGGCTGTGTTTGCGCGCTTGGAGGGGGAGAGAGGAGCAGGCCTGGACTTGGGCTTGGGTTTCTCGTCAGGGGAGGAGAATAGGGTCTTGCTTGAGCTGGTCGAGCTGGACGCCTGTGAGAGGGGGATGTTTTCCGTATCGCTCGAGTTCCCATTCGCTAGCAACGAATCCGTCAGTCAATCATACGTGTCGGAAGACAGTTTAACATACCCTTCTTCACACGCTTCTTCTGCGGGGCTTTCGTCATCACCCGGAGCGCAGGCTTCAACACCTTCCCCACCGTATCATCCAGCTTCGTCTGGACTTCCCAGTCCGAAGGTCTAGAGCGCCTCCACTCCTCTTCCACCCTCAACACCCAGGTATCTGTCTCTCCCTGTACGTGGAAATCGATCACCTCGTTCCATTCTGCCGGTGGCGGGGTCCGGTTGACGAAAATGACCTTTCCTAGCATCGGGTTCTGCTTTTTCGCCTTGACCGAACCACTGCTCCCATCCTCCTTGCCCACATAAGCGGCCTGGGCACGCGCATGTACCGCACTCGCAAAGTCTTTCACAAGCCGTTTGAGCCCATGCACTTTGAGGCTCGTACCCATTATGATGAGCATGTCTGGCCCGCGGGCCACGTCCTGCGCTTGCATCTTTCCGATCTCGTCGCCCAAGGGATGGGGCTCGTCGTACAAAACGATAGCGGGGCGGAGGTAACCCTGCGGGAGGGGGCGAGCAGCTCGCATTATCCGGGCTTCAGCTGTTCGGATGTGGGGTTAGCATATGTGCGGCTTTTGCGCGGAAGACGTACATCGGGAGACGCAGGCTGGGCAAGGTGGGGCTTCGCCGGATAGGAAACTGGTAGTGTGGGATGTGGAAAAGGGGGAGGTATAGGAGCAGAGTGTGCAGCGGACACTGTGGATGTCCCCGTGTAGCTGAACGTTGCGCGCTGTGTTGAGCTTCTTGCCTTTGGGCTTGGGCTTCGATTCCTGAGAAGAGGAACTCTGGGTAGAGGGAGAACGAGCAGGTCGGTTCTCCTTGTCTTCATCCTGTTGTGCGGAGGGCACGCTCTTACTCGCCCCACTCACTCCAGCCCTCTCCTCCAGTCCATCGATATTCTGTGTATAGCTGCGGAGCAGCTTCCCCTTCCCTTCGAGTAACCTCAAGAACCTGTGTGTCGCTCCTGGCTCAGCAGCGTTGACAGCGTTCTTGAGCTCGGCAATGAAGGTGTAGAAGAGAGCTGTGCTATCTGGAGAACGGAAGAGGGAGGCGTCGAATAGGTCTCGACCCTTAACAAAGGTGGCGGGGTAGCGCAACTTGACGAGGTTGTATAGTCCATCGGAGGAACGGAAGTCCTATGCGGAGTTAGGTGGTGTGGTACAAAGGGGGAGGAAACGTACTGGGATACCGCAGGAACAGGAGATACCGGCGCCAGTGACGACGACGATACGCTTTGACTTTGCGACGGCAAGTGAGATGGCGGCAAGGATGCGTCTTGAAGGTGCATCTTCTGGGGAGGTGGATGCGCTGAGGGTAGAGAGGTCGAGGGTGACTGTCATGATCGCTGTTGTCGCTGTTGTCGTCGTTGTCGTCGCCTTGTGGTAGCGCGTAGAGGGAGACGACGAGGAGAGAGGGAGTCGCGTTGCTGGTGGTGTGGTGTTTGGTGTTTCTCCTCTCATCACGCGTTTGTTCTCCGCGCTCACGTGTAACTCACGTGATTAAATGATTATGTAATGATACCTTCTCTCATTGACGGGTGTCATTTCGGCGCAGCAACCCGTCTGTAGGACCCTCCCGCCCTCCGTGGCGTACGATTCATCTCGGCGGCGTCTCCTCCCCAACCAAACCGCTGCGCCGCACAGCTCGCAGGGAGTCTCCGCATTCTCCAGGTTCTGTTCCCCTACTGTTTGCCTGCCGGGGCATACGAACATTCTCGGCGGAAGCGAAGATAAAGGGTGGGGAATGCCTTGCCGATCCCACTGAATATGAGTCATTTTTCGTCAGATGGGGTATAAATATCTTTAACTTTAACTCGGGCAAGACAAGACATCGTCACCAGACATCTGTTCTAACCCGAGCCTATCAAGCTGCACCTACCCTGTCTTTTACAACGCTACAACGCTACAACGCTTCACTTCTTCATCGGCGGTTACCCAGGACCCATGTCCCCACCACCCACAGCACGTATCGCCATCATCGGCGCCGGCTGTTCGGGCCTCACGCTCGCTGCCGTTCTCTCCCACCTCTTGCGCACCACTCCCCTCCCTTTCACGCCTAAGATCACCGTCTTCGAGCGGGACAGTGCGCGTACGGCGCGTGATCAGGGCGGCTCGCTGGACATGCATGGAGAGACGGGGCAGCGGGCGCTCAAGCTTGCTGGGGTGTGGGACGAGTTCCTCAAGTTTGGACGATATGAAGGCGATTCTATGAAGATCATGGACAAGCATGGCAATGTTGTTATGAGCGGGCCTGGCGGTCCCCCTCCAGGTGAAAATCCCGGCAAACCGAACCAGGGGGAAGAAAGCGAAATCGACGCACATCAATTCGACGAACCCGACGGCCGTCCCGAGATCGACCGCGGAGTTCTCAACAGCATCCTCATCGATTCCCTACCTCTCAACACTATCCAATGGGGCAAATCCCTCTCCTCCCTCACTGCCCTCCCCAGCTCTCACATGCTCACCTTCACCGACGGCACCTCGGAGGAATTCGACCTCGTCGTCGGCGCCGACGGAGCCTGGTCTCGCACGCGCAAGTTACTCACCCCGGTCGGCCCGTTCTACTCTGGAATAAGCTTTGCCGAGACGCGCATCAGCGGCTGTGACTCCCGCGTGCCCCATGTCGGCGCGTACGTGGGTCCGGGGACGATCATGCTCACAGCGGAGAACAAGGGTATCTTCGCCCAGCGCAACTCTGGCGAACGAGTCCGTGTCTACTGGGCTATGCGTGTGAGCGAGGAATGGCCCGACTCCGGCTCTGTGGACTTTAGCTCTATCCGCGCGGCCCGCCCAGGTCTACGTGCCCTCTTCGCTGACTGGGACCCCCACGCTCTCCAACTTCTGGATGCTTCTGACGAACCCACCGACGCACCCGGTGTCATCGTCCGGCCCTTGTATATGCTTCCCCTCGACTCCTTCAAATGGGAACACAGGCCGGGCGTGACGCTCATTGGCGACGCTGCGCATCTCATGACACCCTTCGCGGGCGAAGGAGCGAACATGGCGATGATCGACGGTGCGGAACTCGCTCAAGCCCTGCTCTCCTCCTTGCTCTCCGCAGGCACCTCCCCATCGCAGGCGGATGTCCTCCAAGCGCTTGAAAAAGCGATTCGTGAGTATGAGAACCGCATGTTCCCCAGAGCGGAGGAGACGATGCGCGATACCTTTGAGAGCATGGAGGCGTTCATGAATGATGATGCGCCGCAGAGCGGGGTGAGGTTCTTCAAGGAGTCGATAGCGAGGGCTATGGAGGCTATGGCTGCTGCTCAGGCGGCTGGCGAGTCGAAGTGAGTGCTTCAGGACGTTTAACGTGAAGCGCGGAAAGGAGTTGGAGATATAATCATTTGGGTGCATCAGTTTCGTTTCGTTTTCTTTTTTACTATATCCTGAGACAAAAAAAAAGATGCTATCGTGATACCTTCCCTTCCCTTGATAGGTAGTGAATATATAGGTAAACAATGATACACACGTATTGATACCACCAGTTCTGGGTACGAAGGCTTGTGGGGTGGATGAATCAATGGTGGAACGCAAAATGGTTCAAACAGTTTGTATAGTCTAGTAAGAGGGACTACAAGGTGCCAACCCTAACCTGAGAAACCCTAACCCCAGCGGACTCAAACACGGGTGGCCTTGATCACCGAGGTAGCTCCGCGGTAATCTGTCTTGCTCTCAAACTTCCACGAAGCGTCCGCCAACAAGCTCTTGAAATCCGTTACATTGCGGCAACGTGCTCCGCACAGAATCATCATCAGCACATCGATATCGGATACCAACAAACGATCGTGAGCTTCCTTATCTTGGTCCAGTTTCAGTGGACGTACCCCAAGCATCGCCAAGACCCCATCCAACACCCAACAGGTCGGGCAAGGAAGGTCAGGCTTCTGAATCTCGGCCATATTGTGCTTTCCGATGCGGTAGAAGAACTCCTCTATTGTGATCTTCCTCGAGTCTGGCTCTTTTGGCGTAAAATTGACGATCATGAGCTTGGGTCCTGGCAGCGCAGCCGGCAGGAGGTTCTGATATACTTCAGCGCCAGTTCATGCTGCTCTTCTCTGCTTACCTTTAAGATCCTGGTAGTAAGATCGTCAGGCCAGTCGTGGATGACATCCTTCAGCATGAAGACGTATGGGCAATCCTCGGGGGCTGGCGGCAGAGGGAACGGCTCAAAGAAGCTATGCCCCAGGAATGTCACTCTGCCTGCGTCTACGATTTCGGGAGCTTCTTTCCTCCAGAACTGGCACACACACAAATCAACCAGATGAAACAATGGTCGCTTGATACAGGAACGTACTGCTTCTGCTTGGGGAATGACGACTTTCTGGTCTTGCAGGACTGCCTTCCAACCAGGGTAACGCTTTAAGAACTGCATCGTCAATCCTCCAACACCCCCGCCAATATCGACAAGTGTGATGTTCGGACCGAAATCTTCGATTGGCAAGTCGACGACAAGTCCAGGATCCAACATTTTTTCCATGGTGTCCATTGCACGGCTGAAAGGCGCCAATTCCTCCGGATTCTCCTTGAGCCACTGGAAGACTCCCAAGTCATGGTAAGCCGAGAAAGGAGTCTATCTAATTTGAGCTACGCATTGTGCAGTAGTGAGACGAGACGCATACCTGATGCCGACTGTCCGATGGCAACTTTGCAGTCTCCTTCAACATTGACGCTGCTGCAATGCCGGCATTCATGAGGCCAGCTATATCGCCGACGTAGGATTCGGGGAGGAGTGCCCTAGTGGAGCGGGTTGGGGCCATGAACCCTCCTTCCTTCTCCATGAAATAGTCTCGAATGCACAAAACATGCATCATCGAGCCTTAATTGGCAGTCTCAGCTGGAGGAGGAGCAATCGAACAAGGGATTGTACGTACGCAGCTTGGTCTCGTTCAGCTCTGTTCTTTCTGCTAACTCTTTCAAAGACGTCCCATTCTTGCCACTGGCCAGTACAATCTCGGCAACAGTCGGTGGAACGCATTGTGTCACCGTATGCAAAGAGGCTGTCAAAGCGAAGCCCGCGGAATCGATCTGAGACCGTTCAAAAGGATCCTGCACGAGGGTCGTGATACGCTGACAGAGGCCGACAATGGCTTTCCGGGCATACCAGCCCCGAGGACCTGGAAGGCCGCCGTCCCATGGGTGGTGTGAGAGGTCGTCCCTCCTGAAAGAGGGAGCTCCCTCGTCCTCAAGCGCCGCCTGTAAGACAGATGCGCAAGTGGATAGGGCCTCGAGGATTGTGTCGAGCTCAGTCTTCATTTTGGGAATCGTAACAGCAGGTACGTTATGCGATGTTGTTGGAACCAAAACATAAGCATGGGCACATATTTATGGGTTCAAGGATTGACACAAGTCGGCACACTGGATATTCATTATCGACGCCCAAGCAACATAACACGACTCGATGGGCGTCTCAATATCTCTCATGACACATATATGGATCTCCACATGGATGCAACTCCGTCCGGCACCGTTCTCAAAATAGACCAGCCAACTTGGCGACCGCTGCAGCACATCCCACGAGTGAGTTGTAAGTCCAAACCGGCTCAGGTGCCGAGGCGTAAGATATCACCCTGCCGATTGATGACAGTAAAGTTATCACAGTTAATCTCTGACGACCGGCAGAGATGCGCGCTTTGTGGCGGATTGGTTGCTATTTTCTTCTTCCATAGCAGCGGTGCAAGGATACATGAGCGTGTTCAATAAATACCATATACTAAAGATAATGATATTCTCGAAGTTTGAAGTTTGATTTCGATGCAGGCGCAAGTCGAACAGACAATGTGTATTGCGCGTATGAGGTCGCAAACCGCCGCTTGTACGAACGGCGCTGAGAATGTTAGCGCAAGAGGGCTTTCTTTAGTTTGAATGATTCCTAGAGTACGTATGCTGTCAGTATATTGTCATCGTTGAATAGTCATGTCCTCATACTTCGGCTTCCGACCGGTTTTCGCAACTTTCCGAGACACCCATCCCAGATCCGAGCAGGGAAAATATTCTTCCAAACCGGGGATATCACGGAGAACATACCAATACCGAGGATAGAACTTGCTCAACAAAAGGTCGGCGGGGTGAGAAGAAGCAATCTATGCACCATTTAATTGTACCTTCTTATTCAAGATACTGAAGTGATGGTCCCTACCGTCGGCCTGCTTGTGTTTTGTTATCCGTAAAAGCACCAGAAACCCCTTTCCTTCAGTTGTTTCGGGCGTTCCCGTGCCGAGACTGTCCGACTGGGAACAATATGCTGGACCGACAGGAAAACACGAACACGGTACCCGAGGCGGTAGATAAAGGAATGTGGATCTGTGGGGTAACGGGCTCTGTCAGCTGGCGCTAACAGCTCAAGAATATCGACCACTTGATTTCTGGATTGAAGCACTGATACACCAGATAAAGAAAACATCGAGTTCCAGCCGACCTGCTTAAAAGGCGATTGTCGCTTCCCCCACCCCCACCCCGCAATCGAACTAGCTAACGACCCAACCCCCCAAATGGGGTAGCACCTTCTCCTCCACTTCCGTCTTCATGGAGGGCCAGAGGGACCACCAAGCTGCTGCGAAGATGATTCCCCAGAGTGCGCCGACAAGGACTTGGGGGAGTGTATGATGTCCCAACGTGATGCGGCTCGAGGCTACCGCTAGGGCGTAGGGGAGGTATAGGGCGGGGAGGGTGAGGCGGAGCCAGCTTGGAGGAGCGGATGGGCTGGGAAGAAGCGGAATTGGGAGGATGGAGAGCGCGGAGAAGGAAAGGAAGAGGGACGAGAGCGTTAGGTAGAGGGATTGGAAGGCCATAGTGCTTGTGTGGGCTGAGGGCATGCCATACCTGTAGGGGCGGCGGGAGCCTGGAGGTCGGGGATGGCGTAGGAGTCGTTTGAGAGCCTTAGCTAGGGGGAGTTAGAGGTGAAAGGGGAAGAAGAAAAGAAGGAGGGACGACAGACCGGAGAGAGAGCACAAAAGAGTGCCGAGGGTGAAGTAGGCAGCATGGAACGAGCGCGTGAGGAGGGCATAGAGGATCGTCCCAGTACTGACGAGGATGATAGCCTGGAGTGAGGTGAGGACGCAACGAGGAAGGTGGGAAGAGAGGTTACCTTTGAGAGCGGGAAAGGTACCAAATTTCTTTAGCGCTCATTGATTCGGGTATGTGCTTGATAGCCGTTGTAGGAAACTGAAAATGAGCACATCTTTATAGGCCCAAGGGGCGTATGTAACATCCGGTACACTCGGCAGACTCAGCTGAAGAAATCCAGAACATTGACGAACCCGCTGTACGAGTTCCGCAGTCTTCTTCTTTTCCCTTCTTGAGCGCGAATCTACTTGTGTTCTTGCGTAATTCATAGCGTTGATCGAGAATGTCGCGTTGTTGGTTTCCCACGCGCAAGTATCAGCTCCACATGATGGGCGTCATCATCTCTCATGAAATCGATCTCCGCAATAGACGCAAACTCCGGTCTCCCGTCCGCCCACGTTCAAGAACCTAGACTAGGGAAGGTCGGCCGCTACAGCCACAGCCCGTCGCATATGAGCCCGCTCGTGTGCCGAGGTACAGAGACATCGCCCTGGCGCCGATGGATATCTGTATGATCCGGTAAGTTGTCTCGGACGACCGGCAGGGACGGGCGGCTTGTGGCAGGGCGGCCGCGGTGTCCTCCAGTGGCAGTTCAAGCATCGACATGTTTGTGACCATTTGGATAGATCAAATATAGTGATATTCTTGCAGGTAGGAATAAAGCAAGAGACAATTGCAAGCCGAGAGCGAACAACGCGCATCTCAGGCCACAAACGCGTACACAGCATGAACCAAGTTCCGACTCCTCTTCTTCGCCAGGAGGGAACAAGAACTTGTCCTCATTGTCCAACACGGGTATAGCAAGAGCAACAGTATCAAGTATCGTCCCATTCCACGTGTATAACAACATTCACAGCACCCTTCTTGGGTTCACCGCCGAGATAAGAAGCAACCCGGAAATTAACACGCATTCGTGTTCGTGTTCGGTTTCAAAGTAGAAGCAGAGGCAGTGAAGAATGGTCACCCCCGTGCAGGAGGCTGCTACGTGGCATGGCCGTCCTTGTGGGAGACTGCATCCGAGCCCGGTCGAACATTCTGCCGTACCTGAGGAACCGGCGGATGCATTGCAGACGGTGAACCGTCACCAGCGCCACGAGGATGCACGTCCACCTGTTCTCGGTTTGGAGGAAGGACTAATAAAGGGCTCTGGGATTGCGCTAGTGGCTCGATAGCACCACTTGGGTACTTGGGTGCACGAGAAGCAGAAGCTGAAGACTCCGCTTTCGGACACGACATCGGGTTATAGCTCGGGAGCCGAGGTGGACCTGGAAGGAGGAGGATGCTTTGTCCTTCCCTTTCCCCTTTCATCCCCGGCAAGTCTCTCCCAACGAAATACCCAACCATACTGCATCATCTGAACGACCGGGAGTCAAATGTGGAGCACATCAGAATCCAGAACGACGTCCCTTGGGCGTCGGCGCACAAGACAGAAAGGTTCAACGGTTGTGCGGTGAGGAGCTTTCGAGTCCCCCGCAGATGGAGCTCGCTTCAGAGCAGTCGCTGAGCTCGATGGGCACGCATGCGCTGGTTCAGTTTGGTTTCATGCTTCCTCTGAGGTATCAGATACCTGTTCCGGGATCAGCTCCGACTGATGAAAATCAACCGTCCAAGTTCCGCATTCTCTCTTCTCTTCCCTTCTTGAGCGCGAATCTACATTGTCTTCTGGCTTTATTTCGGATCGATCTGATCAAGAACGCTGAATTGGTGCTTTCCCCCCGCAAGTATCGGCTCTCCTCGGCATGTCACCCCATAGACACAACTTCCCCAGGGAGGCTCCCGTCCGCCGACGTTCAAGACCAGATTAGGAGGGTTGGCGGCCGCCACAACCACAGCCCGTCGAATTACAGTGGAACAGCCGAGCTGCTCGGATGCACAGGTATAGATATCGCCCTGGCTTTCGATGGATGTCCGTATGATCGTCTCAGTTGTCCGTGACGACTGGCAGGTTAGGCGGCTTGATGCAGGGCAGTTGCAGTGTCCTCCCATGCCTATAGATTACTCGGTGATCAAGGGCATGGATATTCGAGTCCAGTGGAGTTAGGATTTCTCGGGTTAGGTTTGAGTTCCAATTTGTCTGAAGGCCGGAGCCATCAGTCATTCACTCATGTACCCCACAAGCCTTCATCTGCAAAACTGGTGGTGTCTATCCGTGTATAGCATTGTTTACCTATATATTCACTATTTATCAAGGGAAGGTATCACGACAGTATCTTTTCAAGTTTTATTTTATCTCAGAATAATAGGGAGAAGAAAACAAACCGAAAGTGATACGCCGAGAAGTTTATATCTCTCCGACTCCTTTCCCGCCCTTCACGTTCAATCTCCAGAGGTACTCACGTTGACCCTCCACCCATGAGCAGCAGCCATAGCTTCCATAGCCCTCGCAACCGAGTCCTTAAAGAACTTCACCGCGCTCTCGGGCGCATCATCGTTCATGAACGCCTCCATGCTCTCAAAGGTATCGCGCATTGCCTCCTCCGCTCTGGGAAACATGTGGTTCTCATATTCTCGCACCGCTTTTTCAAGCGCTTGGAGGACGTCCGCCTGCGATGGGGAGGTGCCTTGCGGAGAGCAAGGAGGAGTGCAGGGCTTGAGCGAGTTCGGCATCATCGATCATCGTCATGTTCGCTCCTTCCCCCGCGAAGGGTGTCATGAGATGGGCAGCGTCGCCAATGAGCGTCACGCCCGGCCTGTGCTCCCATTTGAAAAAGTCGAGGGGACGCATATACAAGGGCCGGACGATGATACCGGGTGCGTCGGTGGGTTCGTCAGAAGCATCTCCGCCCTCCGTGGCTCCGTGGCGTCGATTAGAGATCAAGACACAACTCTGGTCTCCCGTCCGCGGGCGTTCAAGAGCTTAGACTAGGTAGCGTTGATGGCCGCTACAGCCACAGCCCAGCGCACTGGAGTGGAACAGCCAACCCACTCGGATATACAGGCATGAGATCACCCTGGCTCCTGATGGATGTTCGTATGATCGCCTGAGTTGTCTGTGACGTCAGGCAGGTTGGGGGCTTGTGGCAGGGCGGCCGCGGTGTCGTCCAGTGGCAGTTCAAGCATAGAATGTTTATGACCATTTAGATAGATCAAAGATGGTGACATTCTCGCAGGTCGGAAGAAAGCAAGAGACATTTGCAAGCCAACTCGGAGAGCGAACAGCGTGCGTCTCGGGCCGCAGACGCGTACAGTATGGACAAGCTCTGACGACTCTTCTTTGCTAGGGAGGGAACAAGAGCTTGTCCTTATTGTCCAACACCGACATGGAGCAAGAGCAAGAGTATCAAGTATCATCCCATCCCGCGTGTATAACAGCGCGCTGCATTCTTCCTGGGTCCACCGCCGATAAATAACATGTACAGAGCAATAAGCAACCCGGCAATATTCATATTAGTGTTCGTTTTCAAAGTAGGCAGAAGCAGAAGCAGTGAGGAACGGTCACCGTGCAGGAGGCTGCAACGTGGCATCCACCTCCTCCACCTCCTCATGCCGTGACCCGAGTCGATCGAACAATATTCTGACAAACCTGCAGATGCAGTCATCGGACCATCGCCCCTGCTGGGATACACCAGGAAGCAACATCTGAGAACAGGCTAGCAGCTACATGTAGCTCCATTGGGTTCTTGGGGTAATACGAGAAGTTTCAGAGGGCCCGGAATGATACATATTGGGCCTCGGGTTCCAGCTCGGGAGCCGATCGGACCGACGACTCGGAAGGATCGGTATCCTTAAGCTTTCGAGTTGCTCCTGGTCCCTTGTCCCTTTTCACTTCTCTTTATGACCAGATAGACAGCTCCCATGAGAGATATCGATGCATATGCATACATCCTAGCTCTCCATCGGATGAAAGCCCAAACCGATCCGAGAGCGACGCAAACGCGCACAACATGAATCATATGCATGTTCTGTCCTTTCCTTCCTTTCCTTCCTTTCCTTAACGGGGCAGGAACCCGCCCAGCTACATACACAGTATGTAGTGTCCAACACCGTGACGGGCATGGAGCAGTAGAATGCAGGCCCAGTACTAGGGCCATAGGTTATAGCTACTTACATCAGGATATCGATGTATCAGACCAGTGTCCATCCACATCTATAGGCTGTCCGATAGGAGTCCGTCCGTCCGTCCATCCACCACCCATCCAACATCCAACCATCCACCCATCCAACATCCGACCATCCAACCCACAGCCCACACTCCACGCTACAGCACCGCCCAAACCCCCAGCCCCAGGCTCAACGCCAACGCCATACTCATACTCATACTCACGCCCACTCGCCCCGCCCCACTCAAAGGCACGCTCGTCTCCCTCCCCCCCGCCAGCGTTGTTGCCGTCCCCCCGGTCCCCGTCCCCCCCGTCCCCGTCCCGCCCGCCGTCCCCGGAACACTAGCAATAACTCCCTGAGAATACGGGATCCCATTCAGCTCCGCCGCGACTTCAAAAACGCTCCCTCCCCCAACCTCATAATAATCCACCAACAAAAAATTCGGTGCTCTCCCATTCTCAGCCACGCATTCCTGTGCTTGGGCCCCGAGTGAGTTTGGGCCGGAAACAGCGTTCGTTTGCGGGAGAGCAGGCTTGTCGGGCATCGTTATCCCTATTCCTGCGATCGTGGTGCCGATATCGAGAAAATGGTTTATGGTGCTGAGCTGGGTTGTGGGATCCCCATGGGTGCGGTTGACGACGCAGTCAAAAGTGGTGGTGACGTCGAAAGCTGTTTCCCACATGTTTGAGAATTCTGGAGTGAGTTAATTTTGGTTGAGTTTTGGGACGAGGGGGGGGGGGGGG